ATGCGTAAAATTAGTTACAGAGTCATCTTCTTTAGTAATTGGTCCAGAATCAAGAGATGTTTTTTTTATTACTGTTTTTTGTACTTCATGTATTAACTTCTTATAGTTAATTTGTAAGCTTTTATGTTTGATTTGTTAGCTTTTCATGTTTGATTTTTTTAGGTACATTTTACCATTTTTTAAATAAATGTGTTGTTTAGTTTTAATCTTGTAATATTTATTTGTTGTCCAAGTAATTTTTACCTTATCTTTTAAAGACAAAAGGATTAAACATTGGTTCAAAGAGGTAGTAGAGCGCTGAAGATGTTATTTAAAAATATTACAAATAAAGAGTGTGAATACAAACACTGAAATGTAACTTTCAATAGGTATTGTACGTCAAAATTTCAAACTTTAACTTTTCACTCTTAAATGGGGCGGTAGAGAACTCAAAATCATTAAAGCCTCTTAGAGGGCTGAAAATGTGGATTTAGCATTTTAAAATAAATTACCAAAAGTAAGCACAACAAAACGCAAGTTTTGATAGGTATTATAAACTTAATTTTTATATTTTTTAAAAATATGCCTATTTTGGCCCAGCCTACGTATATCCTTAAAGCTGTTCGTCACGACACTAAATTAAGTACCAAATTTAGAAGTAAATTAATGCATTTTTTTAAGTTTTAAAACAATTCACGTTAAGAAGAGCATATTCAGTACTGTATTTATTTACTAAAAAAATATATTAATTAACTTGTTCTATTTTCTACTAAATTTAGTACCTAAAATGCGTTAAAATATGCAAAATATTTTTATAACCTTTTAAAACTTGGCAGTGGACAACACGCTTGTTTGTTCTTAAAACAAGTTCGTTCCAAAATAATAGGCACTAAATTCTAAGAACTATTATTGCTTTAAAACAAAAACATTGTTTTCAGGTTGTGATTCTAGCTATTTTAGCATTTTCTATTTTAATCATTCACATGCTTGTAAATAACCATATAATAACGGACAACGTGTTCTATTCGTTAAAGTATTCTTCCTGGTAATAAAATGTATTCAGCAACACCAATGTTTATTAAAAGAATATAAAAATTTAAATGATATTCTGCATCTAAACATTAAATGGCAACGTTGCGTACACAGATAAGTTTGTGAGGCGGAGAAGAGAACAACAGATTAAAGTTGCGGTAAGCTAGAGAGATATAAGTACATATTGGCATTGGCCCGAGCGGTGTCCCAGGTCAGGTAAACATTCATGGGTATAGGCAGAGACAACAGAGACGTGTAACTTAATAGGAAAAAGTGTTCGGTGGTCCATTTAAATTACATATATCACTTTCTTTCTCTTTTACATTGATATTTACATATATTTATCTCCCTCCAATAAAACTAACACCAATTTAAGAGGTCGCTGATTGCTGCGTTTGAGAATCCACATCGGATGCATCTGAGATGTAAAAAAATCTTTGATCACGTGATGCAGTATACGTAAATGTAATGGGACAGATGTGTCCGATGTGGATAAAAAAAACGCTCGAGATGTAAAAAATGCATCCGATGTGGATTCTCAAACGCAGCATATGTTGCTGGTTTTTTGACGTTGACGTATCGATTAAAACTGACAACTGACAATGTTATGAATGTTGTTATGAACGTGTGCATTTTATTAAAATTAATTTAATTTGGGCCCCGTTTATTTCTTTGAGTCTGATTTTGTTGTTTAATTTTCTTAGGGGGGGGGGGGATTGTTTATTTTTGCATATTATTTTTTGCATGAAGCAATTTCTGGAACCTAACTCGCGTCTTTGTACACATTTCTTTCTAGAGGTAAGTAATTTCCAATTTATTAAGAAAACCACTGTATAATGTGTGTGTTTAATAATATATTACAAAATGGCTATAATTATTTTATGTGAATTGGAACAGAAATCCATTGTTACAGCTACTTTTGTTCATTAAGTAGGTAGATGAATGTCTGGACAGCTTTAATGGTAGCACAAAGTTCCTACCTACTAGAAAAGTAAAATGTATAGGGAGTAAAAAATCTGCACATGTAGTATTGGCAAAGGACTTTTGAAATGATTAGAGATTGGCTATTTCTTACATACATCTACCTCTAATAGCCACTCTAAAGGAAGAAAAAAAAATTGAATCACAAAAAGGCAGAATTTTAAATCAGGATGCATTGGAAAATAAATTTGGGGACATCAGGTCGGTTTTGGATTTTAGAGAGAGATCAATCTCAAGAAAAGTTTAATTTATCCTGCAGAACAACCAGTAGTTTAGGTAGAATTTGCTATAACTTTATTAGAAGATTTCTTTGATAATAAATTGTAATATACCAATTGTTTCAAATGAAATTGAAAAAGAGTTAAATACGAAATTAGATTTTTCATGGGTAAAATGTTATATTCATTCAAACATTGTAAGGTAATCTGTAATAAAGGGAATGTGGAAAATAGGTATACCCTGGTGGTGTAAGAGACAGGTAAGGTGCAATGACTAAAAAATTACAAAAATGTATTCATCTTTAAATAGTGTTTCTTATTATTATTATTATTATTTGCTATGTTTGAAAAGTACCTCCTGCTGCAGAACAGATCGAATAGATTAGACTACTAGTTGGAAAAGGTCCACCTAGTAACCAAATTAGGAGACTAGGAAAACTTTTACATGACTGCGGACACAACAGGAATGCACACGCACAAGATACACAAACAAACGAAATAACAGGGGTAAGCCTTCAGCAATGTCCTTTTAAATGATGATAGTATGTCATTCTTCATTCCCTTTTAGAAGGCATGGCAACTTACTTAACTCGGGCCTTATAAATTTGTGTTGAGTGTATGTTTGTTTGTTTCGTTTCCATGGTTTCTATTAAAATAAACAGTCATAACATATCCATACCTTTTTGCCAGACTAATGTAAGCGACATTTGTTCAAATGGCACTTATGATAGTCTGGCAAAAAGATATCGATATACTCTATACTTTATGAAATATTTGTTACATTAGTTTTTAAATATATTTTGAATATATAACAACTGTTACTTTCTTTGTAATTTGTCACAAAATGATAGGAGGTACTTTCTAAAGGAAGCAATTGTAGTTTGTTTTTCTGTACCTTACAAAAATATAATTTATAGAAAAAGAGTTTGGTGTATTATTTTTCCAAGTTTAAATATTTAATAATCAATAGAATTTTCAAGTTTTTTTTAGCGAAATTTACAAGAGTAATAAAAACTATGTTCACTGCGTATATTAAACTGATTAAAACTTCCTTTATTAAAATGATTATTTATATGATAAAAAAATTGATGTTATTGGAAGCTTTAATATTTTTTAATACACAGTGAAACAATAGGTTTTGTTTCTCCTGTAAATTTTTATAGAAAAACTATTTATTTCTGAATCCATGTTTGAATTTCCCGCCCTAAACCATTTTTAATTTTCCCGCTATTTACTAGTGGCGCCATCATAGACTGGTTGTGGTTACAATCGCCCAAATAACTTTTACCGAACAAAAAAAATACATTGAGTTACACGTCTCGCTGGATTGTCTCTGGTATAGGTAAAGCTGTTCTTGAGCTAAACTTGATCGAGCCAATATGGGCTCAAATAAAAAAACCAAGTAGCGAGAGAAAACTTGACTTTTACAATGGACAAGGTAAAAGGCCTATATCCTATATACTGCGATAAAAAATGTCCCGTCTGAGTCATGGAGAAATTGCATCAGCCACACGATAAAAGAAAAAGACAAAATTTGAAGTCTCGATACTAGAATGGATGTTGTAGTTGAACCGTTGATTATCAACTTTTTTATCGAAATTTTTTAAAAGTATAAAATGAAAAAAGAATTTCCAAATTTTTTTTAAATAAATTAACTTTCACTATATGAAATATAAATCGGTGATGTTTACATGACAGTGTATCTACATTTTACCAATATCAAGAAAGTTTTTATTTTTCATATTTTAAATGTGTTATAGTAGGTAAATAACTTTAACAATAATAAAGAAGCAGAAATTATAAAATATTAAAATTAGGAATGTAATTTGTAAAGATACCTTTTGAAAGTATTAGGTTGAAAATGATAAAATATCAAAATATTTAAGTACAATGATTTATAGACCTTTTTGTAATAGATTTTCTGTAATTTTGTGGATTCACTTTCACTTGTGTTATCATAAATTGTTTATATTTTAAGCTTGATTCTTTTTTCCAATAAAAATAAATAATTTTTGTGTACATAATAAAAATAAATAATTTATCTTGAATCTGTCAACTTCATGATAAAAATACGCAATTTGTCTAATTTCTCGAGAGATTATGCCATTGTACGTATGTGTATACCTAATTTAGTACTGAAAATTGGTAACGTTACAGACAGAAACTTTAACGACTAATATTTTAAGTTCAAAATTGAACAACTAAATTAATGACTTAATGTAGTTCTAAATTTATTACTTAATTTAGTGTCGTGATAAACAGCCGTTAAGCGCCTTTTAAAAGTAGCCCCGGTTCGCCACTGGTATAACTATATATGTCTATATATCCCCCTTGGTACGTAAATAACTATAAAAAATAGGTCTGCATTATAAGTTATATATCAATCAGATATAATTTGTTTATTTCGTTATCATTATTATTTCAAATATAGCTAAACTGATAACATATATTTCCATCTTTATCCTGCTTGTTCATTGAAAATTCCTATTTCTCTATTGCTTAATAATATAATCCTAAATTCGAAGAAAAAAAAATGCGTTTTATTTTTATTAAATTGATCGCAATAGATAGTGAAACTATTACTTTTGTTTTATAAATTACGATATGCTATATTAAAAAAGTTTTAGTTTTGTATGTATTTTGACCTAATAATAATCAGTAATTGTAACAATAATTTGTTTTATGTAGGAATTATAACGTTTTTAAAAAGTGTAAAAATATGAATGGAACAGATCCTGCGCAAAAATCTCAACTGATAATTTTAATACATTTAAACAAAGAGTGACCTACCTTAATTCTAAATTTCTTATTATTAACAAACTGAAGGAAATGGACACCTCTTAAACAATTTTCTATTGACTTAGCTCAATTTTTCATTTTACTTACTTAACCGTCACTGAATCAGTAAAACATTCTGTCTCATTAAGATTCTAGTAACAAATTTATCTTATCTTGTTCAAATATTGGGAAAAATGTGTAATTTAAACTGATATGAAAGATAAAAGGATAAAGCTATTATTAGAATTGCAACAGGTAGGTATACTCATCGAAAATTATTGAATATCTTCTAAATATACGCAAGAAGTGTTTAAAAGCTATTTATACAACCATGCCTAATTTTATGTAATGAGTTATACAAAACGGCATTTCGTAACGTGTTACATACAATATGTTTTCCAATTTTGACTAATTATTTATAAAATTGTGTTTTGGTAAAACATTACTGACATCTTAGCAACCAATGTTATTTTCTTGTGTTGTTAGTTGCATAGGCGTAACTTCATATATTTTATTGACAAATAGCAAATCATATTAATTTTTTCTCAACGACTTGTTGTAGTGTGTTTATATTGCTTGTTAAAGTTATTTCGTTTTCAAGAAAGTAGGTTATTATGCCGAGTGTTGTGTTCTGATTATTTTGTGAACATTATGAAAAATGCATTATGTCACCAGTTGCGAAAATAAAACAAATAAAATTGAACCTTTTTTGGTTTTTAAATCAATAATACATTATTATTAAAAGTTTATATCAAAAAAGAGCAGATTGACTCATAAAAATCGAATTTGGTTAAACTCACAACCTAGTAATATGATTAAAACGTATTTTCTGATTCGTACACATAGATAAATTAATATTAAAAGATAAATCGTTTAAATGCACGGCACTGGTAACAAGTGGTTAGTTTCGGCCATACTATTTAGCGCCACCATCGCACGCAACACATGGCTGATTAACTTGACAGTTAGAGGCAGCACAAAAGAAGAAAATTGAAAAGAAGAGTGTCAAGCCTAACAGCGGCTAATTCAAATGTCCTTTATTATTTATTTACATTTTTTGACATTCATTATTTTAAAAAACTAATATTTACAATAAAATACTGTATTTAACATAAATATTAGTTTTTTAAGTAATAAAACCACAAAAAATATAAATTAAAAATATTTAAATTAAAATATTTGAAACACAGGTATAGTTTAATCATATCATTTAATAAAAGTAAGGTGCATTCAAACGTTTATTACATACATAACATGTACAAATAACAATAACTATAAATGAAATTAATAGTATTCTCCTCTCATTCTTGGAAAACTGAACCAAATTTCGATGCAGGTTCAGGCGTTTTCTATAAAAACAATCAAATGTGCATACTTACATCTTATTGAACAATTTCTCTTATCAAAATGTTGCCCATTCTTATAAAAGTAAAAGTTATTTTTAATTTGTCTAAAATTAGTTTATAAAAAAACCTTTCAGTTTTTTTTCTCATAGTACAATAACTGATTTGAATTATATTTTAACAAATTTGAGTTTGAAAATTATTTTTCATTTTTAACAGAGGGTTGTTCAAATTGTTTATCACTAATAATAAAGTTTATGTTTGCAACTAATTTCTTGTTTTTCGTTGCGGATTAAGCTGCTATGTATGTGCTTCAGCCTCAACATTTTCTAAAATCTCTCGGGTCGAGTATAGTTGAACTGGATGTACTTACTAATATCTAATAAAATTGGTACAGAATTTGCAATTAGTCGTCTACGTTTTAAAGCAATTTTACTAAAGGAATCTGGCAAAAAAGGATCTTCACAAAGATAGCGATTTTTATTATGTAAACCAGTTCTCGCCAATTTTAATATCGGAAGAAAAATGAAAAAAGGTTTTATTTGAATAACCAGCCTGCTAAATATTAGAATAATACTTATTTTAAAATGAAAAAAGGTTTTATTTGAATAACCAGCCTGCTAATTGACATCAGAAAGGAGCTGTTGGAACAAACTTAGGCTCGTATTTATAAACAAAACTCAGCTGAGTTGGACTTGGGTAAGTCGTCCTTGAACGAAAATCGAAGTTCGGTTTTATCGCGTGAATTTAGAGATGGGTAGTAACAAATCCGTAAATGTACATAACAGTTACATATTTGCTAATATCCATCTCTAAATTCCAGTTAAACACCAGAACCACCTAGAACTTTAGAGACGTTGTAACCGAACTTTGATTTTAGTTCAAGGACGACTTACCCAAGTCCGACTCACGTAAGTTCTGTTTATAAATACGGGCCTTATTGTTACCTATCACCCTACAATGTGCTACGGTCGTCATAAGTAAAGGTGCCAGTAAAAGAAGAAGGGAGAAATATTCGAGAAATGTGTAGAAATGTCATTCCACGTCAAGAAATATCTGGACGTTCGAGAAGGTTCTAGAAGGTTAAATCGAGCTATATTAAGTCGGTGATACTGACGTCAGAGAGACATTTTTATGATAAACGTCGTACGTTTATGTTACCAGTAGAATATTTGGGTTGTAAAAGTTGAGTTGAAATAAATTGAGTTCCAAAAACCAGTGTAACATTAGTGACAAAATAGAAGTTCATATAAATACTAGATCTACTGACTACAAAATAGGCATGGATACTTCAGGTCCCCCAGCATGGTTTTTGAAGATGAAGGAGGGGAAGAAAAGACAAGAAGAAAGAGAGGCGTAGAAAAGCTGAGGTAGAAATTATGAATGATTTGCTGCAAATTCAAAAAAGCCTCAAGCAAGAGATAGGTCAGCTAAACAACAAGAGAATTTAAAAACGAATTTAAAACAACAAGAAACGGCTAGAGTAGAGTTATAAAGGCAAATTACACCTGTACTAGTTGAGTTTGAAAGAAGAATTCGTAGCCTAGCTTTGATAAGCACAGAGAAACTACAAACACTACCTCGTCCTCATATATAACCGAACCAAGCCATATCTAAAACCCAGTTTCACAAAAATATATTAGCAAGACCATTAAGCTACCCACGTCTGACGGTCAGACACCATGGGAAACGTATCGACTCCAATTTAAAGCTGCAGCTAGAGCCAATGGCTTGGATGAAAAAGAGATAACGACTTCATTAATAGTGTCGCTGCGAGGACAGGCAACAACCGTTTTACAGTTACTCTCTCAAGGAAAATACAGTTATTCGTCTCTCGTCCAACCCTTGGAGACAAGGTATAGCCAGCAGCATTTGAAACGGGTATTCCAAAGCCAGTTAAAGGTTCGTAGTCAGAAACATAATGAGAGTATGCAGGAATTTGAGGCCGACATAACAAGTTTGATTCATCTGGCCTATCCACAGGCGCCCAAATATTTCTAAGAACAAATCGGAATACATGCATTCATTGATGGACTACAAGATGTTGAAATGCAGAAAGCTCTTCATCTACATCACAAGACGCTGAGGGAGGAACTGATTGCAGCCCAGGAATATCATGCGGTAAAACTCATATTTAGATCTTCTCGCGCAAAAGTGAGAGAAATTAAATCCCGGGAAAGTGAGGAGACCAATACTAATACTATTATCCAACCTACCCCCTCACAAATCTTAAATATCCTGCAAAATATGCAACAAAATAGCAAAAATTGAAGCAGGAGATGCTTTAATTGCGGAAGAATCGGACACCTTTAAGAGCTCGGTCTATAAATCAAGAATCAGGGAATGAGGTTAGAAAGTCACATAGATTAATCTCCGAAACCCGTCACAAAGACCAACAAGAAATAATTACAGCAGCTATGCGTCCCGGAGAAGCCGATCACTCACACCTAGCCGGCTTTCTAGCAATAATCAGGAAATAGAGCATCGAAGAGGCCGTCCACATAGCAACACAGACATTATCTCTAGGCGACCCTATGTAGAACGACAATGCCGGTAGAGTAAAGGGCTTGGATAACGAGAGGAACCGGTTGATAAAGTTACTCTTCGGGCAACCACTATCTAGCCAGAGGACGACGAGGAATAAATTACAGATTAAAGACAATGACATGAAGGTTGTCCGAGAATGGCTCAAAAATAAAGTCACATTTACTTGGCAAGAGATAGCCAAATACAATGGAGCTATTAAAAGGTACTGGACTCAGTGGGATTACCTGCATCTTCACGATGGCCTATTGCACCGGAAGTGGGAGAGCCCCGATGGAGTACATATAGCCCACCAAGTGGTACTGCCGAAATAACATGTTAGAAGTGTGTTGGAGGAGCTTCATAGCAGCCGCCGTTAGGGAGGACATTTTTGTACTAAAAGTACATTGGCAAAAGTTCGGGAAATATTTTATTGGGTTAATTGCCGACGGGATATAGCGGATTGGTGTAAAAAATGTGACGTATGTAGTGGCAGGACAAATAAGGTCTACGGATTTGCTCGGGAACGTCTAAAAGCCAACAGCGACAAAGCAGAAGCTATAATCGACATGCGTGCCACCGGGACAGATTTTGAGAGACGCGACCCAGAATGGCTGTGCAATCCCATGCTCCGAGGTTAAATTTGTCAGAAACTGCAACGGAACTGGGAAGGCCCCTACACCGTTCATGAAAAAAATCAACGACCTTCTGCATTAGGCTGTCAGCGGGAAGCAAACCCAAGGTAGTTCACATTGGAAAGTTAGCGCCATACCGTGGTCCAGATCCTCCCCATTAGATCCAACCAGGTCCCAGTAATCAAGTTATTCGGGAAGAATAACTAAAGAGGAGGGAGCAATGTTACCCATCAACCTACAATGTGCTGCGGTCGTCATAAGTAAAGGTGCGAGTAAAAGAAGAAGGGAGAATATTCGAGAAATGTCTAGAAATGTCATTCCACTTCAAGAAACATCTGGACGCTGGGGAAGGTTCTAGAAGGTTAAATCGAGCAATATAAGTCGGTAATCCTGACGTCAGAGAGGCAGTTTTATGATAGACGTTGTATGTTTATGTTAGCAGTAGAATATTTGAGTTGTAGAAGTTGAGTTGAAATTAATTGAGTTCAAAAAACCAGTGTAACAATATTATATTCTATTTTTTGATAAAATAATGAATTTTGTAATCACGAAATGCCGTTTTATGTAACTCGTTCATGTTGCGGGACCTCGCTCTACTCGTCCTGCAAATATTTACTCGTTACATAAAATAAGGCATTTCGTAACCAGTTTCAAAATGTTCAATAGGTACAGTA